AATCTTTAATTTCTGACTTCCAACGCTTGAATCACTTAATAAAGCAATCAAGACTGATGGGATGCAAAACAAACAGCTAAAACTGGTTTATTTTTCATGCAAGCGAACAGAAAGTTATAAAATCAGAATGAAAAATTGATTTCAAAAACCTGCAAACGCAAAAGGAACTCTTCAGTGTATTTTCATATACCCTGTTGATCTTCTACTCTTATAAATGGTTGCTTTTATTGTCATAACTGTGTCCAAAGAATTGCAATCGCAAACATAGTAAAATCCGGCTTAATTCTTCGTCGTTTATCAGTTAAAGATAAATCTTGAAGTGTAAGTGACATCAAAAATCGCTTATCTAATTCAATAATTCGAAGAAAGTATGGTCAAGAAAAGACAACGATATCTGAAGTGAACTGAAAAAAATCATAATTGAAACTGAAGAAGATGAATAAATACGACAGTAAAAAATAAATACAAATAAAGCAGAATAAATGCGACAGTACACTCGACATCATCATAATAGAGGTCTCAGCAGCAGTTGTGAAAGGCTCAAAATAAGTGATTACACTGAAAATGTGGATCAGGTTGCCCACACATGATTCAGGTGACAATGAGAAAAGGATTTAGGGGTGACTGGTTCGATGTTACAGTGAAAAACTGAAGATCTCTATAATTTGATTCATTCCGCTCCGGCTGAACTCGCTGACTTTGTTGCTAATAAAGCATCAACAAATCATTTTAGAAAAATTACACTAGGCCGAAAGAAATAGAGGTCAACAGTTACGTTAAAAGTTTCTGCCAATGCATCAGATTGAATAAAGTTGCCCATATGGTAGGAAAATCCACAAAATCAAGATGCTTTCAAGAATCAATTTAGACGAATTGCATGTAGCCAATGGAGTACGTGGATGAATACAGCGATTTTCAAGAAATGGTTTCATGAAAATTTTGTGTTAAGAATGAAGCATACTCCGATAGAGATGAATTTGCCGCAAAAACCTGCATAGGTAATGGATAGTTGATCTGCTCCTCTTGAAGCGGATAAAATCGCGACAAAGATGATGGCGAAATGGCAAATTTTCATCTACCAAACACATACTCAAGAATTGCTACGAGATATGGAACGTGTTCTCATAACGGTGGAAATCAGAACAGTAATCGAGCAAAATCTTCTGGTTCATTCGGCGGTACAATTATTTCGACGTAGATCATGTTAATTTCACCATATCAACAACTCTACCTTTCATTTCTATCAGGAGATTTTTTTGTCCCTTATCCACAGTTTCTGTTCCTTATCCAGGGAGCGTTGAATAAGATTCGGCGATATACGATTCAATAATTTGGTAAGTGCTGTAAATTTGGGAACACTCCTGTATGATCATTTGCAAATAGACTTACCATTAGAATTTCAGAATAATGGTCAGGAATGGAAAAACAATGAATTTCTTTCTGCATTTCACAAATTGCCTATATTTTTTCTCCGTTTCGATCTCATTTCTTTCTGTTCTTTCATTGAAAATTTGTTATTGATATTGTGGCAATGATGTACTGAACAGTTTTTTTGGTGATTAGAACGTTTTTGAAATCAAACTCTCATCTCGATATGAACGGAATGAAAACGTCTGATTCATTTACATAAGAAATAAACGGGTGTTAACAGCCAGCTAATTTTGCATCTCCTCAGTCTTAATCGCCTGATCAAGTGATTACACCGCTGTAAGTCCAAAACTAAAGATTCAATAATCGGCGATGTAAGATTATCACAAACGACTACTCGAATTTTTTGCGATGTTTTAGCGCTGTTGACGTCAACGTTCTGGTTGACGAGCACTCTCTAAATCTGCCGAGTATCTCGTCATTTATGGTCAACTAATCAGCCCATTCCCATTGACTACTGTAAAATGATGCAAATCAAAATGATCAAGCTTTATTTAAATGGCGTTAACGCCCTTTACAAAATTCAACTGAGTGTTATTGAACAGGTGATTATTGGAGAACTTCGATCATAATCAATGTTCTATTAGATATGATTAGATTCCCAATGACTCAAATAATGAAAAAAATAGCGATAAGGAATGATTGAGCAGAATTAATCTCTTGATGAATTGAAATGTATGCCCAAAAAAATCCGGCTTAATTCTTTGTCGACTACGTATAAGAATGTTGATTTGGAACAAAAAGAGTACTTTGTGGGATGAACATTGTATATCACAGCAGAATTAGTTATTTATCAACAATGCTGGGAACGTTCGGCTGTTTTATCAGTGGTAATTGTTGTTATAGATGCATGATCAGTGATTACATAAATAATTCCAGTCTCAGCCGGGTGAAGCAACGTATTACGGCTACGATTCAATCGTCAGCATCAAAGGGAACAAAGCTAAACGCATACTGAACAAATTATTTTTATATCAAGAGTATCTTCGAGATTACGTTTGATATAAAGAGTCATCTTGAAAATATTCACGACTTAGTTCGCAAATGAATATCGTGTTTCAGCAACTGATGCATATCGGGCAATTGTGCATCTCAATGTCATAATTCGCTGACAATAGAATTCATTTGCATGAAAAAATGATTTGGTTGCATTATCAAAAGCTTTGCCTTCAACAACGAAATGAACTGGTGGCGGACGTGTATATGGGGTTCTTTTCGCATGGAAGCAGCGAATTGTGAAGTAAAGATTCCTTTTGTAATCGAGAAGCTGTACCTAACTCGCGATTCCACATTATTACAATACGTGCATGCTTCTTTAACCGTATCCATGCATTGCATTTTTTATACATTATTTACGATGGTTGTATATTTTTTCGACAATGTATATAATGGCCGTTCGGATATGAGAGGATTCGGATTTGACAGCTTCGGATAGGAAAAGATGTATTGTATCATGTGTTGCGTGTGAGGTAGTTGTTAGCAAGCATTGTCAAAATGCTTCTTTAGATTACATCATGAAGAAGAGAGGAGGGTTAGTAGAGCACTGAATGTTCGCAAGAGCAACAACATCGAATCATGCGCCTCCTCATACAAAAGTGCATAAAATATTTCAACAGTGCTTAAAATCATGCTGATTTTTTGAATGACACTAAGAAGTACAACGCAATAAATCAATGTTCAGTGATCTCAACAACGTCTGACGAATGATAAAACCACTGATAAATCTTTGGATTGTAGAGAAATTCATTTGTGCTGATAACAGCTTCTTGCTTTCATTCAAATTCAATGTTCATAGAGAACTTTATAGAATAATTTGCACGTCTCTATCGTCTTGTTTCGATGCTCGTTTTCATTTTGTTCGCATAGCTTCTTGTTGGGGATTGTAGTTACTGTTCAATCTCACACACAAATTACCTCGAAGTTTTAATGATTTCGTGTTGCTGACTATGGATATATTGAGAAAAAGTTTTGGAAAACTAAACCAGCGTGGCACTGTATGTTGATTAGATTTATACTGAAACCCAATGTATGGCTAACTCGTCCCTTTGAGAGAAACATATTGCGTGCGTTTGAAAAAAAGGCGACTGAACTGGCATGGAAATCTCGGCGGCTGGAAAGAAGTTAGTTTTTGCGACGCAACTGCTGGATAACGCTTCGAAGCAATCCATTAGAGTCCTAAGCCTACAGTCAATTTGTGCAATGAGATTATGGACAATGAATGAATGATGTTTATTCATAGTTTCTCAACATGTTCGCAATCGCATTTTGCATAAATCATTTTTGCGAGCAATTCCACCCTTGAACACATTCCTCTCAAACTCCACGAAGTTTTGATCCCGGCGACTCTTCACTCAACCAACTGCAATACGTCGATTAGTA